ATTTACTTTTTTTCTTCTGTCTTAATAAACTAGGTAAACCCACAGAAGTCCTTTAGAAGGAGAACACAGCAGGTGAGACGGGACCTAACACAGCTTCAGAAACTGTTAGAGAAAAATAAAGAAAACCCCGCCCAGGTGAAATCGTTGAAAGATAAGATTCGTTCAGCTCTTGACGTCCCTAAGGAGTGCTGGGTACCGGCTGGACAATCCCTCAAAGAGCTGGTAAAGAATCTGCACAAACAGCTCAGTTTCATGGAAGACACATCCACCTCTCCTCCTGGAAACCTTTCTGATGAGGAGGTGTTAAGTAATGCGTCTGAAGGCCTGTCTCTGCAGGGAATCTACTGCACTGGGGTTCTGAAGAACATGCTGGAGAAGAGAGAGCAGCTCATTGAGGTTCCTGAGGGCTTCTCACTGCACAGACCCCAGCACAGCTCCCTTTATGAGCAGGAGGAGTTTTCATCCTATAAATCACAGGCCCTTTTCCAGAAGGTCATGGAAAATCTGGGCTACTCTTTCAGCACTTTAGTAACAGGTGAATTCAAGGCCTTCTCTGCTGCAAACACAGTAGGTCTCTCACACTCTACAGACAAGGAGAAACCCCCATCTGCACACCCATGCATATGGAAAACAAAGTACAACTATGTACCACTGGCGTCCAGCTTTTTTGAGAAGAATAGACTGAAGTTGTCAGGTGCTGCCATGAGAGACCTCCGAGATATAGAAACGGCGCTGTTAAAGAGTGAAGAAGATAACATGTTCCCTATGTTAATAAACAGAATGGATAGTTTTTTTAAGAGATTTGGCACCCATGCTAACCAGGGTCCTGTTCACTTTGGTGGGGTGTTCTGGTGGAAGGCCTCTGGTGAGGGTTTCAGCAGCAATGATCTCACAGGGATGAACAGCCTGACATCTGACAAGCTCTAAATATCTATGTTGGTCATGGATACTGTGCATTAACCACATCTTGTTCAGCTGGAGTGAGCAAGTCTGCATCAGAGCTGAAAGGACACTTTACTGGGAACTACAGTGAAACCCAGATGAGCGGAGTGAAGCTCTCTGTCTCTAAAAGTGGGGGTCCTGCTGAAACTCACAATCACCTGCAGTGGAAGTGTGCTCTGGTCAGCAGCAACAGGACCTGGCAGGTGATAGACAGAGGAACCAGGCTGATTCCTGTGTGGGACATCATCCTGTCTGCTCACACTCAAGACTTCACAGACCCTTTCAGACTGAGCAGCAGCCTGCTGGAGGCCTACAGAAGGATCACAGGGCAGGACGCAGACCTGATGTCAGGAGAGAGGGAGCTCTCGGCACAGAGAGAGGCTGAGGAGCTGATTCAGACAGTGAAGAACTGGACTGTGTCCAACAGTGAACAGGTTCTGACTGAGCTGCTGCAGTTCAAGAGTAAACTGAGAGAAACAACAGGGTCCCACAGAATCTGGTTTCAGACCTGTCTCTCTAACAAGGTCCTGCAAGATGTTTTACTGGAAGTTGTTAAAAAGCACAAACATGAGGAAGCAATAAACCTGCAAACGATGATGCGCTCTCTCATGGAGCCTCACCTGTACACAGTGAAAAACGTCCCAAACAGAGCCAAAATCATGGAGTGGGCCTACCAGGCTGAGGAGGAAATATTCAAAGTTGTCTCTGTTTCCGAGTTCTCTGAACTGACAGAAATCCTGAGGAGAACTAAAGAACTAGCAGATTCTACATTAGCACTCAGTGACTCTGTAACTGTGCGTGAGGCCAAGATCAAAGCCACATGCACTATTGCCTTCTCCCTGAACTCCCTGCGACAGACTTTAACACAGAACAATGAGGGAGAAGCAGAACTGCTGGTACTTTCGGTCATCACATCTGTAGGATACAGCTTGAAGAACAACAGTTTCAGTCACCCTCTGGGCTGGAAAGACATTGACTTTTTAGAGAATGAGCTCCAGAAGGCTTATGACAAAGACTGCTTACTGAAAGGGCAACATCCTACAAGAGCTCAGGCCCACTTAGTGCTCACAGCTCTGACTGCATCAAAAAACAAACAGTCAGTCACCTCAAAGGATAAGGAGAGGCGACTACAGTTGATAAAATCACAGCTAAAGGGGAAAATGATCCCTGAAGTCTCCTCAGCAATCACATGTGCAAATGTATATCAGGACTGGAAACGACTTGAACTGCAGTTGACACACTTGACAAACAGCGAGGAACGAGAAGATTTTATGAATTTGCTTCAGAAACTGGGTCTAAAGTGCCTATGCCTTAAACAGCAAAAAAAAGATATTCTTGTCATAGATAGTGCCTCACAAAGTGTGAACAATCCCAGAGAGGAGAGCCAGCTCTGTTTCCACTACCTGTACAAGCTCATGATGCTGGACTACAGTGTCCGTTTTTTTGTTCTTAAAGTTCCGGATACTGACTGTAAGGAAAACAGTGCCACCACAGTGCAGTGTTCTAGTGGTCCTGAAAAAAGCAGTTTTGGCTTCTTCAGTATTGGCGAGGAAGATGTTGAGAAGGAAAAGAAACACAAGACTCACATTCACCCCATGGACGTCCACATGGCTGTGTTCCACTACTCTGATGACTTCCTGAGGCAGTACCTCTACACCAAGCTGTCCACCTGTCAGTTCGCCTTACCCCTGCTGGTGCCCAGCCCCTGGACTGGGGCACTGGAGTTCCCTCTGTGGGCCCTGAGGCAGATCAAGAAATCATGGTGCTGCAGGGAGCCATCTGAGAGAGGCAGCTCTGTGAAACACAACTGCAGGGACATGTTCAATGCTCCAGTGCCAACGGTGTCCTTCATCAGGCTGGGATCATCCTCCGTCTCCAAATCCCAGATCCTAAACAGCGTCGTCAGCCCCAAGAGACACAGTGTGTTTTTCCACCGGCACTGCAGGGGCAGCTCCCCACACTGCCTGCTCATGGACGGGGTGGTGGAGATCGCCTGGTACTGTCCAGGAGGCAGGAAGGACGACGTGTTCGACAGCTGTGTGGCTCTCCTGAACCTTCACGGTGATGCCAGCAAACACCCAGAACAGCTGCAGTTTCTCCAGGAGGTCAGCGTTGTCAATGTAGTTCTGATCACAGAGACTCCACTGGGGGAAGAAGTGAAGAAGACAGCTGAGGCTCTTTTCAACTCTCCTGTTCCCCTAATCTGTCTGTTTGCTGGCCTGAGTAAAGTCCCACAAGGAAACAATCCAACCAAGGTGAGACTGGCTGCCAAGAACAGGAACGAAGCTGATCTGACTGATGAGATAGTATTACACGTCAAACACTGCATCTCCACTGTGAACAAGAGCTCCAGCCTGCAGACATACTTACAGGCTGCGAGACAGCAGCAGTTCAGGGTGGATGAAGACAGTGAAGCCTGTAGAGAAGGGAAGGAAAAGGCTGAACTTCTGATGAGCCTCCTGAGAGAAGATGAGTTAATAAACCTCAAGGAGAAGCTGCTGCCTCTGCAGGGCAAGCTGTGGCACAAGTGGTGCCTGAAGGACAAAGAACAGTATCGTCTGAACAGCAGAGTGAACACAAGTATTGAACAGCAGGTGAGCAATATCAGGGCTGAGAAAAGAGCCCTCCGCCGTGAGCAGCTAAAGAGAGCTTTCCCTCTCCATGACTTCATGAGATCCTTCCTGGAGTGTTTAGCTTCTGCAGATCCACAAGACATTAAACTGTTCATGCTGCACTGGCTGGGGATGTATCTAGATGAACTGACTGCAGACACACTGAGTGAACTTCAGAAGAAATTCCACTCCACATGGAAAACACTGAGGCAGAAAGAGAAGAGCAAGGACAAGGAGCAGGAGATGAAACTGCAGAAAGACCTGAGCACCATATCTGAAGAGATCACTGCTGCTACTCTCGGACTTCAACACCTCATGAGAGAAACCACTCAGCTTCATGAGGCTGTTCAATCAGAAGGAGAGGGTCTAGAAGAGTACAGACAGTTTGTCAGTGTCTTTCCCGCTGTCGGAGCCGAGATGCTGATGTCAGGACATCCTCTGGAGCTGATGGACGGAGATGCTGCCCATGTGCCCCTCCTGTGGATTGAGGCTGTCCTAGACAAACTCAAGGAAAAAATTGGAGACAGAAAGGTGTTTGTCCTCTCTGTTCTTGGAGTCCAGAGCTCGGGAAAGTCCACTCTGCTGAACACGATGTTCGGGCTGCAGTTCACAGTGAGTGCAGGAAGGTGCACCAGGGGAGTGTTCATGCAGTTAGTGCGAGTGAGTGAGGATGTCAGAGCTCAGCTGCAGTATGACTTTGTCCTGGTGGTGGACACAGAGGGGCTTCGGTCACCAGAGCTCAGTAATAAAACCACACTGAGTCATGACAATGAATTAGCAACGTTTATTATCGGGATTGGTGACATGACTGTGATCAACATCATGGGAGAAAATCCCTCTGAAATGCAGGATATTCTCCAAATCTGCGTCCAGGCATTTCTGAGAATGAAGTCTGTTCAGATCAAACCAAGTTGTGTTTTTGTGCATCAGAATGTGGCAGAATCTTCAGCAAACAGCAAGAATATGGAGGGAAGGAGGCGCCTCCAGGAGAAACTGGATGAAATGTCCCGCATTGCTGCCAAAGAGGAAGGCTGTGAAGTTACCGGCTTCAGTGACATTATCCAGTTTGATGTGGACTCACAGGTTTTCTACTTCAAAAACCTTCTGGAAGGAGACCCTCCGATGGCTCCTCCCAACCCCTCCTACAGCCAGAACGTCCAGGAGCT